GCTTTTTCACCCTTCTTAGAGAAAAAGGAAAAACCTAAAAATACACAAAAGTGCGAATCTTTATTTGTCCACTAATAGAGTAAAAAATAGCAAAAAAGAATTGCGTAGCAAAGCTAAATCCTAATGATGTCTAAAAAAGATTTATAATACTTTTTCTTTACGTAGTTCTTGGAAGTAAAACAAAATCCGCAAAAACAAAGATGATGAAAAAAGATTTAAGATTTGTTTTTTCACATGTAATTTGAGACAATTATATTATTTTGTTGAAGCAAAAGAAATGTAAAAACAAAATAATAATTCAACAAATTTGTTTGAATAAAATAAACTACGTAGTTATGTGTTAAGTTGCCTTGGTAATAAGGAGTCGCACTGACTGTTTGCCATATTTAGTATAATACTTCATACAATTGCAAACCACCACAAATTTAGTAAAGAAGTGGTATAAAAAAAGGGTTTTAGGATAAGAAAGGGTTTTGGTTTCTAGTATGAAAACTAGGATTTAGTATAAAAACTGGTGTTTAGTATAAACTGGTTTTTAGTATGAAAAGTGATTTTTAGTATGATAACTAGTTTTAACTAACTAACTAACTAACTAACTACTACTAACTACTAACTAACTAACTAACTAACTAACTAACTAACTAACTAACTAACTAACTACTAACTAACTAACTAACTACTAACTACTAACTAACTAACTAACTAACTAACTAACTAACTAACTAACTAACTACTACTACTAACTAACTAACTAACTAACTAACTAACTAACTAACTAACTAACTAACTAACTAACTACTAACTAACTAAACTAACTAACTAACTAACTAACTCTAACTAACTAACTAACTAACTAACTAACTAACTCTAAACTACTACTAACTAACTAACTAACTAACTACTAACTAACTACTACTAACTAACACTAACTAACTAACTAACTACTAACTAACTAACTAACTAACTAACTACTAACTAACTAACTAACTAACTACTAACTAACTAACTACTAACTAACTACTACTAACTACTAACTAACTAACTAACTAACTAACTAACTAACTAACTAACTAACTAACTAACTAACTAACTACTAACTAACTAACTACTAACTACTAACTAACTAACTAACTAACTAACTAACTACTACTACTAACTAACTAACTAACTAACTACTAACTAACTAACTAACTAACTACTAACTAACTACTACTAACTAACTAACTACTAACTAACTAACTAACTAACTAACTAACTAACTAACTACTAACTAACTAACTAACTAACTAACTAACTAATACTAACTAACTACTACTAAACTAACTAACTAACTAACTAACTAACTAACTAACTAACTAACTAACTAAATAACTAACTATATCAACTGTAGTATATATATTGGTTTTTAAAAAAAATACTGGTTTTAGTATGAAATCTAGTTTTTAGTATAATACCTACTTTTTAGTATACACAAATTTGTTTTATTGTAAAACCTTGATTCACATAAAATACTGGCATTTATTATAAAACTGGTTTTATTATAAAAAACTGTTTTTTGGTTGGCTATAACTCTATGCGAAAGCTTTGTATAACAGTTTCCTTTTTTTATTGTTTTAAAGAAAATTTTCCCTATATACTTATTTACACATATTTATTTGAGGGTTTTAGGAGAAATTACACGTCATAGATAGACATAAATCATTAAGTAGAATGCTTAAAGTATTCTAGTTATTTAATTAGTTACTCCCACGCATTACAGGCAAACTGTATTTGGAATTCCTTAATAAAAATATAATTAAACATCAATAAATTTATTATATTACAAAATAATATTACTTAATAGGATTATTTGATCTGTTTCAGCATTTCCAACTTCAATTGCTACATCCATTTAATAAAAAAGAAACTTATTTTAGGTATAAAAATATATAAAGATATTAAAATAAAATCTTTTTGTTCTTTTCAAAAAGGACACACTTCAAACTACATACTTTGTAGAAATTCCACCACTCAATTCATGTTGTGTAACTAGGGTTTTATTTAACAAATCAAATCAAAAGAGGAAAAAACCCTAGAGAAAAAAAGACTAAAGACTTGGAAACAAATAAGAATAAAGTAAGGAAGAAAGTATAGGCGGGCATGGTCGATTTTATGATTCACTACATCGGTTGTAGTTATTAAGTTAGTTTGAAAGGATGATGTGTGTTACCTCAAAATCGACAAAAAACTACACTTAGACCTCCACCGGGCAACATCTGGTCCAACAGATTAGAACTCTAACAATTAACCCACCGTTATAGAAGTATATTTAAAATTTGGGATTATATGTTTACTTGGGGGTCAATTGATTATTTTGTGTTACGAACATCAACAAAACCCACAATAGTGGTGTAGGGTATAACAAAACAACAAGATTTAAATACAAATCTTATAAATACGCATAAATATTTGCACTTTGGAAAAATACTACAATTCAAATGTAAGTAAGATTCCTTTAACCATCTCATTTATTTCTCAAGGTAAAACAGTATCAATTGCTTGCACTGCTGAAATTTATTTTTTTCTACCAACTCCCAGAGCTTCATATTCCTAGATTATGTTATGGTTTGTTCAGCTTTTTTTTTGCAAGAGTTTGTGTTCGTGTGTATGTGTGTTTTAACTTACCTGTAGATATCTTCGTCTTCTTTTGGCCACATTTCCTTGTACCACATTACAGTCACCATGTTTGAATATCACACGTTTTCGTACACGCCGAGAACTAAAACGTGTCTGACGATACCTGTAAAGGATGAAGTAGAAAGATAAAATCTATAGTGAGTAGTGTTTATTTTTTATATTTTGTTTTAAGAAATCAATGACATTGAATATTAAATTAGGAAAATATTTAGATTTTAATGTTTAGTTAGTGGTGTTTGACCAAAGGTTAACCTTAATTTTGTTCGAAGAGGGACATGCTTAGATCAAGGCCAAAAGTTCAATGATATGAAATATTCTGCATAATTAAGATATTAATATCGACACCCTTAACAAACCTTATACTGCTCAGCAGTAAGGGTGTGGAGAGAGTGATATCATATCTGTGATGTGACTACGCGACCATGAAGCGAGGAATGCATTGAAATGGTAATATTTTTTCCTACCATTACCAGTGAGAACCTTAAGAAATTGTCTTGTCTCAATGATAGCCTGGTATAGTTTCAAGGTGGGCGCCAAGATAGGACTAGTATTTTGCACGAGCAACTTTAAGGTCCATATAAACTTTTAGGAATAAACTAGCAATAGATCCATCTGGAAAACTCTTAAAGCTAGGATCCTAAAAATTTTGTATGAACAACTTTCTAAACATGTAAAAATATAGGTAATAAATTGGTCAACAAGCAATAAGGGCCGTGGCACCTCCCATATGAATTAAATGCAAAAATTCGTTTATCTGGAAAACCGTTACAGCTGGAATCCTCAAATTTTGCACGTGCAATATTCACATGCATATGAACATTTGGAAAAAATAGTATACGTTGCACCTTCCATACGAATCTAATATTAAAGAGAATATAAAATTGGAAAGGGTTTTTTACTATATAGTTTTAAGGGTATAGTTAATCTATAGTTTAACATAAAATTTAAATTTTTTGTTAACTTTTCCCACAAATAAACATTTTCAATTGCCCATCTGTTCTATATGTAAAGTGTTAGTGTAGGTGGCAGCGAACGTCCTGTCTGCGTGTGTGTTTACCGTCTGTATTCCTATTTGTAAATACACTTAGCAACAGAAAAATTTTACCTTACGGGCAATGATAGGCACGAAAAGAACTCCAGGAACAATAGGACTTATTGGAAAGCTAAGAAACCACTGATTGCAGTTAGACTTTATCTGTCATTTGTTTATTTTTAAGAATTACTGGATTATTTTCGATCCCTGTTGGATATATTTACCGACCTATGATTGGCACATTAAATACAATATAGAAATGAGTCAAATGGAAGTACCTTTTCTTATTTAAATTGTGTGAGATTATTATTGGTATTTACCCCCATATCACTTTGAATTTCTAATTTCCTTTTCCTTTAACTGCTTAAAAATGTTATATGAGCCCCATTCATTTATTTCACAATTTATGTTCTGCTATCAGTGTTGCCAATTTGACGTTTTTCTCATCAAAACTCAAGTTTTCGATATGTCAATAGCGAGAAAAAATTAATTTTAGTGGTTAGCGAGAAATATAGTCTAGTCTATAGTCTAGTCTATAGTCTAGTCTATAGTCTAGTCTATAGTCTAGTCTATAGTCTAGTCTATAGTCTAGTCTATAGTCTAGTCTATAGTCTAGTCTATAGTCTAGTCTATAGTCTAGTCTATAGTCTAGTCTATAGTCTAGTCTATAGTCTAGTCTATAGTCTAGTCTATAGTCTAGTCTATAGTCTAGTCTATAGTCTAGTCTATAGTCTAGTCTATAGTCTAGTCTATAGTCTAGTCTATAGTCTAGTCTATAGTCTAGTCTATAGTCTAGTCTATAGTCTAGTCTATAGTCTAGTCTATAGTCTAGTCTATAGTCTAGTCTATAGTCTAGTCTATAGTCTAGTCTATAGTCTAGTCTATAGTCTAGTCTATAGTCTAGTCTATAGTCTAGTCTATAGTCTAGTCTATAGTCTAGTCTATAGTCTAGTCTATAGTCTAGTCTATAGTCTAGTCTATTCTAGTCTATAGTCTAGTCTATAGTCTAGTCTATAGTCTAGTCTATAGTCTAGTCTATAGTCTAGTCTATAGTCTAGTCTATAGTCTAGTCTATAGTCTAGTCTATAGTCTAGTCTATAGTCTAGTCTATAGTCTAGTCTATAGTCTAGTCTATAGTCTAGTCTATAGTCTAGTCTATAGTCTAGTCTATAGTCTAGTCTATAGTCTAGTCTATAGTCTAGTCTATAGTCTAGTCTATAGTCTAGTCTATAGTCTAGTCTATAGTCTAGTCTATAGTCTAGTCTATAGTCTAGTCTATAGTCTAGTCTATAGTCTAGTCTATAGTCTAGTCTATAGTCTAGTCTATAGTCTAGTCTATAGTCTAGTCTATAGTCTAGTCTATAGTCTAGTCTAGTCTAGTCTATAGTCTAGTCTATAGTCTAGTCTATAGTCTAGTCTATAGTCTAGTCTATAGTCTAGTCTATAGTCTAGTCTATAGTCTAGTCTATAGTCTAGTCTATAGTCTAGTCTATAGTCTAGTCTATAGTCTAGTCTATAGTCTAGTCTATAGTCTAGTCTATAGTCTAGTCTATAGTCTAGTCTATAGTCTAGTCTATAGTCTAGTCTATAGTCTAGTCTATAGTCTAGTCTATAGTCTAGTCTATAGTCTAGTCTATAGTCTAGTCTATAGTCTAGTCTATAGTCTAGTCTATAGTCTAGTCTATAGTCTAGTTTATAGTCTAGTCTATAGTCTAGTCTATAGTCTAGTCTATAGTCTAGTCTATAGTCTAGTCTATAGTCTAGTCTATAGTCTAGTCTATAGTCTAATCTATAGTTTAGTCTAGTCTATAGTCTGTCTATAGTCTAGTCTATAGTCTAGGTTAAATTCTACCCTATAGTCTGTTCTATGGTTCTATATAGTTTTCCAGCGCCATTTGCAAAAACATAAATCTAGCGGTTTTTGTGACATAGTTTAATGGGAAATGGTGGAAAAATATTGGCAACACTGTCTGTTATCCTTTTCTTTGCTTCAGTTTTTTGCTAATTGACAGCAATTTTAATTGCTTCATTGGCTGTAAAAACCCACAAATAAATAGGGTATAAGAATATTGAGGAAAAATATCTGGCAAAAGAGGTTTGTGCATCAACACATACATAAATATTTTAATTGTAGTGATAAATTATAATTGCTAATAACAAATTATTACGCTAACATAGCGGTATGTTGAAAATATTGACTGTCTGTCTGTCAGTCAAAGAAAATGAGACAAAATATGTAGGAATTTTAGTTTCACCTAGAAACTAAATGTAAAAGGATTTGCATGCTGTTGCTAAGCAAAGTTTAGAATTATTTCCTAGAAACTGGAAATTTTTTTTAAAGAAAACCAATTCATTTCTTTGATTTAAATTTATTATATTAAATCAATTTATTAAATTTTCATCAAAACTATTTTGATATTTTTTAAATATTTACTTTAGTGACAATCGAAAATCTAATAAAAATTTTATAAACAAATAAGTGGCAATAGAAACTTTATTGTAATTTTTTTTACTCTTGACTACTTGGCTAGCAGTCTACAAATTTTAAAAGAATATTTAATATAAAATATTTACAAAAAATATTAAACAATAATAAACACTTGCAATTGTTAGTGTCTAAAGAAAGTTGGAAAAAAGTCTATATTTTAACAAATAATAATAAAAATTTGCCATAAATAAAATTTAAATATTGTAACAAGATAAAATTAAATTTTCTAAGATAAATTTAGTCATGTAAATTATGTAAAAATTAGTAATTTTAAAATTGCATGAATAACTATTAAAAGAACAAAACAATTAATCAAAATATATTTTCATAAAATCTTTTAACTCGAAGATTTTTTTCTTAATATTTTTTAATGTTTCCTGTTATTAAATATTTACAATATTCTGCTGTTTTAAACATATATACTACTTAACTTTTTTTTAAAACACAATTTAATATTAAAATTTATAATTAACAACGCAATTTGTAATACGTTTTAACAAAAATAAATATGCATTATTAACAGAAAATAAATTTGCTGAAAAAAATATATGAAATATGAAAGAAATTTGATCAATTGCAAAAAGTTTAATGAAATGTAAAGTTTAAAAAAAAAACATTATTTCAGCTGAATTTATTGTTTATTTTGGCATTTTATGTATGTACCCAGCAAAAACATGCAATGACCACTACATACCGTCTGCATTAGTTGGAACGAGTTTAATAATCACTTACAAATAATATATTATGTAACTACTTACTTTTCAGCTTTGATATACTGTTTGGAACATTGTTTTTAATACTAACGAAATGACTACTACATACCGTCTGCATTAGTTGGAACGAGTTTAGTAATCACTTACAAATAATATATTATGTAAGTACTTACTTTTTAGCTTTGATATACTGTTTTGGAACATTGATTTTAATACTAACGAAAAAATATTATTTTTGTGATAACCAAGTCAAGGATTTTCATGCACTAAAAAATGAAAAATATGCGGTTATAATATGCACTATAAAATGGGAAAATATGCACTAAAAATTTGGAAAATATGCACAAAAAAATATTTTCTTGTGAAATTTAGTATTTAAATAAATTTTTATAGATATTTAGAACTTAAGTTTTTGACAACAAATATATAGCTTCCTGATGACAGAGGTACCGCTTAATGTACTCTAATACCAAATTAACAGAATCACGATCACGTGTTAAGTGACCCAACTCAAAAAATGAATTTGAATGAAATTTGCACCAGTACTATGGATAGTAGGCCAGACACATAAGTCAAGAACTTTATCGGTCAAGTATTGCCGGAATTAGAGAGGATAAAAGTTTTACATTTTGGTCCATTGGTTCTGGAAAAATTGTCCAAAGGAGTTTAGATATATATATTTCTTTACTGTTTACAATTTTCTTTTTTAAATTTAATTATTTTTATACCTACCATCAAAAAAGATGGGGAGTATATTCATTTTATCATTCAATATTCAATATATTCCGAGACCTCGTAAGATTCTAAGACGATCTAGCTATGTCCGTTCGTCAGTCTGTTGTTGACACGAAATTTTCCCAAAATATTTT